CACATATTTTCATCCCGGGGCAGTGTTCCCAAATGGGCTTCAGAATGAACCTGTCCCCTGGATGCACCACCGCCCTCCCCCATCACCTCCTGCCCTTTCTCCTTCCCAGGCCTCCCACGGCCCCCCTCCAGGGCGGGGCAGGGCCTTCTCACACAGCAGCTGCCCCCACTCCCCAGCTGAGGCCTCTGACTCCAAAAAGAAGTGGTTTTCTCCAGGGGGCTTGCAGTCTGTCCGTCAGTCCTTCTCTCTGGCTCCCCAAATCTTTCCTGGTTGTGGTCTGGGTGCCGAGTCCCAGGACTAGGGTTCAGGAAATGGCCCCCCTCCTCCTTCCACCCCAGTTCGTTGGTCCTGGAGAAGGGGCACTTCTGCCACTGAAGGCCCCTGTCCCCTTACACACACCATTGGCCTCTGGGTGGAGCCTGGTTATCAGTCAGGAGACACTGTGGCCTCTCCTCCCTTATCTTGGCTTCTCAGGAGAGGCACAGCAGGGAGTCCGCACTCCCCAAGCAATCTTGCCCTTGGGTGGCTCCTCTTGGCCGGCTCTGTGACTTCGCCAGAGTCTCTTGTCTTTATAATGTTCAGACACAAGTCGTGTGCTACTTCCTGATATGTCAAGTTCTCCAAATTAGCCTCCTGCACATCCTCATTTGCCTTGAAGTGAGTGGTAAACATGATTCACAGCGAAGGAAAAGAAACCCCCAGAATCCCTCAAACTCTCCTTAAACAGCCCCCATTCTCCAACTCTTAGCAAATTCTTAGCCTTTTCCTGTATTCCATTGAGATGTGAGAACCCAAAGTAGAAAAACCAGGTTCACTGTCTCTTACCCTTTACTTCATAGATGATCTGATACTATTATATTGCTCTTAGAAACTCTGGGACAGCATAAATAAACACATGCAAATGATGATAGCTATCATTCGTTGTTGGCCTACAACATGCAAGGCAATACACAAATCATGCATTAATTCCTTAGTCCTACACTAACCTGCCAACAAGGGCATGCTTTGTTTTACAGATGAGGAAACTGGAGGTACAGATTGATTAAGAGACTTTCCTAAAACCACATGACTAGTAGCTGATAGAACCCAGATTGAAATCAACTCCACCACCACCACTATGAACAAAACATTTCTCCTGGTCCACTGATGTTAGGCTTGGTCATATGACTTACTTTGGCCAATGGAACATTACTAACCATGATAAACATGAAAACCAAGTCTGAAAATCACTTGCATGGTCTGGTTAGACTCTTGTATTCAGGTGATTCTTTATGGGAAAATGTGACTTGCTCAGGTCCTGCTACCTCAGCTTGGGTCCCTGAACAAACACATGCAGCAGACCTGCATAAATCTATGTCCTAGATTCAAGCCCATCCAAACGCATCCTGAAGCACAATCGAACACAGCCTTTATCAGCTGGACAGTAGTCAATAAGCAGATCTTTGAATATAAGAATGCTTGTTTTTATAACTATTGAGTTTTGAGCAATTTGTTACAAAGCATAATCATGGCACTAGTAGAATAACGCAGTGGGCTTTGCAGGACCTTATACAAACTCTTTTTGAGGAACATACATTAAATTGGTACCTGTGTCGACTGGAGTTTCCTGTTTTCAGGGTAATTCCCTGCACCCCTGTCATATTGGGAAGAAGGAAGTGATAATATGAAAAAATACTCAGAAAAATAACAGACAAGGTCCTCCTTTTGAGATGTGTCCACATGCTCACATTCATACCTCAGTCTTTGGGTATTACCTTCAAGTTTTTGGCATATTTAAGTACCAACCCAACTTTTATCTAATAATGTTTGGTGGACTTACTAATTTAATTAAACAGTGATTACATACTCTTCTTCCAATCCTATATCTATAAAAGAAGTGCACATAGTAATAAAAATATTAAAAGTAGTCCTTTTATTGTTACTTCAGTTTTTTTCCAAAAAGCATAAATTCTGTTTTCTCAGAGGTGATCCCCAACTCTTACTATGACTTCCTTTGAAAAAGCAGAATATCCCGAACCTGCCCCAGTGATCTATTTCTTCCTCCTCTTGTCAACTCCCCTCCCC